ATGTATGTACATATATATAAAGGGTTATAAATATGTGACGATCACTTCTCACAATCACAGTGGGACTCCTCAGTCATATATATGTATGTGATCGCAGACAGTCAAATCGAAGTCCGAACCACCAAACATACCTGCAATCACATCAAAGATTCAACCAAAAGTCCATGCACTATGCAAGGTTAACTTCAACCATTCTCTGCGCTCACACCCCTCGCTTCAGCCTTACAAACCTCAACCTTAGCTCACCCTTCCAACAATAAAATAGTACCTTTGTTAAATAACCATTCAATAAAGTCTGGGCAAAAACACAATGAAACAATTCAAACCACAGGGCTAAAGCCTTCAGGTTGAGTGGCAAAAGTGGATTGGAGTTGAATCGTAAACCGACGAATCAGCAACCGACCTGTTACCAGTGATAACAGATTGTGGGATCAAGATGAAACTAGTCCAAATCTTGAATCGAAACGATCAAAAGGACCTGTACCATTAGACAAGTAAATGCCCAAGCTAAATCATCAGTGTATGGGGAATACATCTCCATAGCACATTCTTTCTCAAAACTATTTGCCAACTAAGATAAGCCTACCCCTAAGCCAGTGTCCAAAGAAAAGGTAGACCTTTGGCCGAGTCTCCCTTATTCAGGGTGGATTGCCCGAATCGCCACCTGGCAAAATATACTTTAATTCCTTTAAACCATCGGTCCCCCTGACGTCAGAAACCTCCGGGGTACCGGTAGCGCCGTTTCACAACGGGTGCCGGTAGTACAGCGTAGAAAACCGGGCGGGCCCGTCCACCATCACAAACTCATCTTCTATGGCTTTGTCTTTTGCCTGAAGTTTGCGTATGATGTCCATCGTGACAGGGTCTTCCTGGTAGGCTCCCACCAGCGATTGAGTTAGTTCTTCAGATACACCAAACTTAGAAGCTAGCGCCCCTAGGTAGTCTGCCCTACGTGATAGCGCATCTGCAACCTTGTTGCACTCTCCCTTCAGATACTCGAGCTTGAAGTCATACTGATCTATGACCTCAATCCAGCGCTTGAGTGCATCAGAAAGAGCCGGTTGAGTCTTGATCCATTCAAGGGTTTGATGGTCAGTTGTCAAATAGAAAAACCGTCCCAACAGAAAGTGCATCCAATGGACAAGTGCCTTGTAGAGAGCATAGAGTTCCCTTTCGTAGGTGGACTTTGCCAATTTCTTTGATGGCATCTTTTTGCTCATATACTCGATCGGTCTCAACTTTTTCCCATCCTGCTGAGCCAGCACTGCGCCAATGCCTTATTGGCTTGCGTCAGTGGTTAGAATGAAAGGCTTCTGAGGATCGGGCACCATGAGAACCTCATGATTCATGAGTGCATGCTTCAATCATTTGAAAGTAGCCTCGCACTCATCACTCCAGTCCCACGGCGTGTCAAGTCGAGTTAGATGGTTCAAAGGAGAGGCGACTGTGGAATAGTTCTTCACGAAGTTCCTATAGTAGCCGCACATTCCTAAGAAAGATATGACCTCAGTAACAGTCTGAGGTCGTGGCCAGTCCCTGATACTAGCTACCTTCGCATCTTCCGGCCTAATCCTTTCCGCGGATACTTCATGACCCAAGTACAAGATCCTAGTGTGTCCAAACTCACATTTCTCTAGGTTGACCTTATACTTGTGCTGTCGCAGGAGTGAAAGTACAGTCTCAACGTGTTGTGCATGCTCCTCGACAGACTTACTAAAGATAAGAATGTCGTCAAGGTACACGACGACAAACTTATCTAAGTAGTCATGGAAGATCCTATTCATGGCATGTTGGAATGCACCCGGCGCATTGCAAAGGCCAAAGGGCATCACTACAAACTCATACAGACCGTATCGGGTCTGAAACGCAGTCTTGTGATGATCCTCAGGTCTTATTGCAATTTGATGGTAGCCGGACTTTAAGGCTATCTTGCTATAGTACTTACATCCCTGCACCCTATCCAATAGGTCGTCTATGCGAGGTAGAGGCTCTGCGTTCTTCACTGTGATGGCATTGAGGCCTCTGTAATCAATGCACATCCTCAATGTACCTCCCTTCTTTGGTACAAATAGCACTGGAGATCCGAAGGGGGAAGTACTTGGTCGTATCCAACCCTTCTGTGTAAGCTCTTTCAGTTGTCGCCGAAGTTCGTCCAACTCGGTCGGAGCCATCCTATAGATCCTTCTCGTTGGGGTTTTACTCCCTGGAATGATTTCTATGGCATTCCCGTGGGCTCTATGAACAGATCAGGGAACTTAGCAACGACGTGTTCTATCTCTAGGGGTGTTTTAAGGGCCTCCCCTTTCTCAGAGACATACACTAGGTACATACCCTCCTCTTGGTTCTGTTTATAATAATTCTAGAACGCTGATGCGCACAAGCAGCCATAGGATTCTATTAAGCTACTAGCCTTATACTTGGCCAGTCTCACGGTCCTTCCATCCTGCAACTTATGCTTTAGCACCTTCTTGTCCCTGTCAAACTAGGGCTTGGCACCTCAAGGTAGTACATTCCTAACAACATATCGAATGGTAAGTCGTCGCTAACTAGGAACGAAATCTTGTGATTAAGTTCCCCTCCTCCATAGGAGAAGGTACAGACTTCATCCTTGATATAGTCTGTGACAACCATGCGCTCCTTATTGGCCAAAGTAGATGCTACTGGTCTACTAAGGTGTTGTACCCGGTCCTTTAGGTGCAGCCTTTCCAAGCAGTCGCGGCTTATGTAATTCCGCGTGGAGCCGATGTCTACGAAGGCACCACATTTGCGGCCCCCTACAGCAACTTCCACGACGAAATGTTCCCCTCTAAGACCTCTACTTGGTGCCACCCAAGATTCACAAGGATCCTTGCTTGACCACTCGCTTTCCAACTCTTCTAAGGCTTCAGACACATCCAACGTACAGAGCATAGTTTGGTCTGGATGAGTTTGCAGGGTGACTAAAGAGTCATTAGCTATGGCCTGCTCATGAAGTGGGGAGGGTATTTGGCCCACTTCACCATGAGTAGAAGCAGCTAAGACTTCCACCGGCCTCACATGTTTCCCGAGCTAGAAGCCTGGTAAGAAGGTACCCCTCCCTTAGGGGGTATCTTCTGCGTGACCTTTGCGTTCTTGCATTTGTACTGGGTGTGTCCGTATTCACCACAGTTAATGCAAGCACCTCACACTCGGCGGTCCCGCCACACTTCCTGGTCAAGACCTACCTTGACCCAATCAGCAACTTTGGCTTGATTGGAGGTGGTAGCTACCGCCAAGGCTCAGCAGGAGGCAGCAGAGGCAGAACATCAGCGGCTGGCCAATGAGGCAGCAGCCCAAGCTCAGCAGACTGCTGAGGCTGACGCAGCGGCACAAGACCGACGGAATGCCGCCAGCACGGAGTCCCTTATTCAAAGTGAGAATCAGTGGACAACACTACTCCAAGGCATGATCGTTGTGCCTACGGACGCACAGGCGGATCAGACACTGGCGGAGGCAGAGAGAAGTAACCGGGCTAACTTGCTTCTGGGCATGATGAGGGGAATCATGTGGAATAACACACTGCTACAAGCACACCTGCGCACAGAACGACAACAAAGATTAAAGCACCAGCAGGACGTGGTCGCTTTAACAGCTGCCATCCGCGCCGCAGCAACACAGCAGTAGCAACAGCAAAAGTTGTTGAACTCCACTCTCGCACGCATCAACAGCATTGGGGCTACGGCCTCAGCAGCGCCTGGCTGCACGACAGACGCGACGAAGCAGCTCAACGAGCGCATCGATCACGTCGTCACTATCATTGGCGAACTAGGTGATTTCACTAGTCCGGCAACCATCGGCAGCACGGTGTCCGCCATCAAGACGAGCATCACCAAACTGCAGACAAGACCGGACGCCGCTACAAAGAATTACAAGATGCCGCACTTCGACATCAGGAAGTTCGATGACTACAACAAGACGGACGCCTTGACATGGTGGCAACGTTTCGTCACGGAAGCATCATGCCGCACTGTCCCGGCTGACGACATGATGAAGGCGCTCTACTTACAACTGATTGGAGGAGCGCAGGCATGGATGAACCATTTGGCGGCTACCAAGAAATGCACCATCGTCGAACTCCACACGCACATCACGTGGAAGGAGTTCGAGCAACTGTGGTTCACTCGCTTCATGGTCCGCAACGTCGTGAAGGCGGCCATGAACGARGTRTACACCTGCTCRCAAGGGAGTATGCCAACTCGAGACTGGACAACCAAGTGGCAAAAGATAGTGACCACGCCAGGCTTCGATTTGAGTTTTCCTAACCAACGATCCGAGTTCTTCTCGCGATCGTGCGCAGGACTGCGAACCGCACTCGGCAACGAGTACGATTACGCCTCATTCTAGGCCATCCTGGATCGTGCGAACTTGGTCATCCAAACGGATGACAAGGCCGCAAACGAACGGCAGTCCCAGCCGCATTATGTGGTTAAGCAGGGCTATCAATTACCGACACATAACAATGTTGTGATTTATGAAGAAACAGTCGATCTCCACGCTGCAGCAGCATCCTCGAGTGATGGAGGAATTGTAGCAGCGCTCCCGCCGAAGCGTCCCAAGAGAGTTCGAAAGAACAAGGCGACACAAGAGACAACATCGATGGGAACTGGGCAGCAGCCATGGACGGCATACAAGATAACCAAGGAAATCAATGACCTTCGTCAACGGTACGGATATTGACTCTGGTGCAATGGAGTCACTCACTTGACCGCGCAATGCCTCGAAAAGGGCAAGGCACGTGTACCCCGTCCAGCGAACTCGGGAAACTGAATTGCGCAAGGAGAGAGGCGACATCTCTCCTCACTCCGCCGGAACCGGTTGCCTTGCTAGCAATCGATGTCACTACCGGGGAGCATGCGTTAGTCGCTGATTCTCGTGCTMCGTACGAGGATTATGCCGCCCAGCTGGTACCACCACTAGACCAGCCGAGCCACGTGCACTTAGATTGCGTATGCGCAGCCTGTACACCGTCGGCAAGTGATCCGGTCAGTTCACCACTGATTTTCGAGGACTCGATGGCGTGGTCAAGACTTGAGGAGCTTGACCCGCTCATGAGAGAGGACTTCGCTTGGATGCCTCTACCCTCGACCAGAACCTTGCCAAGGATGCATTCCAACGCCTTGATGGCAAATCTACGCTCCTATTTGCACACTACAGTACCAGCTCCGTTGACGGACGACGGGGCCGCAGTTGTCGATCTCCGCTCCCATCTTGTGAAGATTGACCGCGAGTACGCCACCCAAAGGTATGCCGAAACCGACGCTCCTTTGCTCTATATCCGCATTCAAATCGGAAAGGCAACCTGTAGTGCCTTGATTGATTGCGGAGCGTCTCGCAACTTTATTAGCCAAGCCTTTATGGCCTGCGCCGGCCTTGGCCTGCGCGTTCGAAGGAAGACGCAACCCACGCAAGTTACACTCGTGGACGACCGCACACAAAAGTCAATTGACCGATGCGTCGACGGCGTTCCGGTATACTTTGCGCCACTTGCGTGCGAGCCGGTGTCTTTGGACATCCTCGACACCAAGTTCGACATGATTCTAGGCATGTCTTGGTTGTGTAGCGCCGATCATCCGGTGAACTTCCACGACCGGACCGTTCACATCCGTGATCGGAGCGGAGTGTTAGTCCCATGTACGGTCGGGACCCCTCACACTTCGATTGCTTGTCGCGTGGTTTCCGTTGCGAGAATTTGCGACGCCATAGCTCGGAATGATGTCGAGGAGATGGGCCTTGTATTCTTGCATGCTCTCCCCTCGCCGGACGGACCAGCCGCGTCACCGTCGGGCCCACGCATTGCTCACCTCTTGGATGAGTATAGAGACGTCTTCAAGGCTCCCACCGAAACAGTTCCGGATCGGCCCATACGTCACGCGATCACTCTCGAGGCTGGCGCCGTCCCTCCGCGTGGATGTATATACCGCATGAGCGAAGAGGAACTCGAGGTGCTTCGCGTACAACTCGATGACCTTCTCGACAAGGGCTGGATTCGCCCTAGTTGTTCACCCTACGGTGCCCCTGTTCTCTTCGTCTGGAAGAAGAACAAAGATCTACGGTTATGCATCGATTATCGCAAACTTAACGCAAAAACCGTAAAGAACGCCGGCCCTCTCCCTCGGATTGATGATCTCCTTGAGCGGTTAGGCAGCGCCACGTACTTCTCGAAGTTGGACTTGAAGTCGGGTTATCACCAGATCGAAATCCAGCCTCAAGATCGGTACAAAACCGTGTTCAAGATGCGATACGGGCATTTCGAGTGGGTTGTCATGCCATTTGGCCTCACCAATGCCCCCGCGACTTTCCAAGCAGCTATGACAACTGAGTTTCGCGACTTGCTCGATCGCAGCGTCCTCATCTGCCTCTACGGCATCTTGGTTTATAGTAGGACGTTGGACGAGCACATCGTACACCTTCACGATGTTTTGGAACGTTTGCGACTGGCCAAGTACAAAGCGAACCTCGACAAGTGCGAGTTCGCCAGCAGGAGCTTGAGTACTTGAGCCACTATGTTACGCCGAAAGGCATTCGTCCCTTAGCGGACAAGATCCAAGCCATCGTGGAGTGGCCAGAACCCCGTTGTACGACGGATGTACGCTCTTTCATGGGTTTGGCTGGATATTATTAGCGATTCGTCAAGTCATACTCGAAAGTAGCCGCTCCTTTGTCGAGACTTCAGTCCCCGAAGGTGCCCTTCAAGTTCGACGACGCAGCCCGTGGCGCGTTCACTACGTTGAAGGCAGCGATGCAAGCCACACCTGCCCTCCGTATATATGACCCCACCCTTGTGTTGGAACAGTGTCACGAGGACGGTTGGCATCCGGTCGAGTATTTCTCCCAAAAGGTGTCTCTCGTCAACACTCTCGACGACGCTAGGAAGAAAGAGCTACTCGCGTTCGTCACCGTTCTCAAACGGTGGCGCCACTTTCTTCTCGGCCGTCGGCGTTTTAAATGGAATACGGACAACAATCCGTTGACCTTTTACAAAACGCAGGATACAATCACTAGCACGATCGGTCGATGGATGCATTACATTGACCAGTTCGACTTTGACCCGTGCCACATTCCCAGTCCTGCCAATCGAGCTGCGGACGCCCTCTCACGACGGCCCGATTTTTGTGCCATTGTGACCACGGCATTCGACCTCGATGACGATCTGCAGCCGCATTTCGTCAAAGGCTACAAGTCCGATCCGACTTACTCTACGCTTTACGCGGAGCTTTCATCGGATCACCCGCCGGCTAGCCACTATCGGATTTCCGACGGGTTCCTTCTCCTTGACACGAGAGGAAAGGACTTGTTAGTTGTGCCCCAAGATCGCATCTTACGGACTCGTCTTCTTGGCGAATTCCACGACTCACGACTTTCGGCACACCTTGGTGTGAACCGCACATTAGCACGCCTCCCCGCCAACGTTTTCACTGGCCCAACGTCCTTCATGACGTCACGAGGTACATTGAGTCATGTGCAGTTTGCCACCGTAACAAGGGTCGATCTCGAGTCCCCTTCGGCGAACTGAAACCGTTGCCGATTCCTCGGGCACCTCTCCATTGCTATGGAAATGACAGGCCCGTTCCCCCGCGATCGCCACGGCCATGACGGTATTCTCACGGTCGTTGACCGTTTGAGCAAGTATGCTCGCTTCCTTCCTTGCAAGTATCATGCTGTAGCACCCGAGCTCGCACGACTCTTGCACACCGGTTGGATTACCAACCAGGGTGTTCCGGAAGACATAGTGAGCGACCGAGATACTCGCTTCATGTCGGCCTTTTGGACTTCCCTCATGGCTGAGTCCGGTACGACAATGAAGCCGAGCTCGGCTCGGCACCCGCAGACGGATGGTCAGACGGAGCGAGCACACCAGACCGCTCAGACGATGTTGCGTACGCTCATCCGTCCCGACCAGAAAGATTGGGTTGACCGGCTTCCCGACATCGAGTTCGCCTATAACACTTCGGTGCACCCGGCGATCTGCTATAACACTTCGGTGCACCCGGCGATCTGCGTCACACCATTCGAGTTACATCATGGTGGAGAGAAAGCACGGATCTTCGCTGATCTCCTTTTGCCATAGGCCGCCGACATAGACGTCCCTTGCTCTCCCGCTTCCGTTCGGAAGTACTGGGACTTGCTGATCAAAGCCCGCGCGAACATGCAAAAGGCTCAAATCCGCATGCAGCAGCAAGCGAACCGACGTCGACTTCCATGTCCTTTCCGCGAGGGAGACCTTGTTTGGGTCCTCTCCGAGGAATTTGTGCTCAAGCAGGACGTTTCGCGCAAACTCCTTTCGAAATGGTTCGGACCATGGGAAGTCACTTATGTCGTTGGAGACGAGGTCCCTTCTTTGTGGTCAACATTCCCCCGCACCTTACAATGCACCGGGTCTTCCATGCGTCGAAGCTGGCCATCTACACGCCACCTTCCGCCGACGAGTTCCCCGGCCGTCAATCACAGGATCCGCCTTCTATGGACGGACATCAGGAAGTTGACCGAGTCATCACGCACCACAAGTATGGCAACAAGCCAATGCAGTTCAAAGTTACATTCAAGCAATGTGCGCCTGACGACACTCGGTGGATCTCTAGTGCAGACTTGCAGACTTCTGCACCCCTTATCTTCGCCGACTATGAGAAGGGATGCCTTGCCAAGGAAGCAGCTCGTCCCACCCGACCCATCCCGGTATCGGATAGACAACTCCGCCCTCGCAAGTAGCTCGGTCTTTTAAGAGGGGGAGTGTGTTACATCTGTGACGCCACACGGGTCCTACCGGACCCGACTTAGGTCTAGAGGGACACATTAGGGCCTAAAGGCCCGACCTTGGGGATTATCAGGCCGAAAGGCCACGACTTGGACCAGACCAACGGACCAGGCCCAAACGACAGTTTCGTTTTTCGGCCTGGCAGCGCTTTGAGGCTGCCGCTCTCCGGTCGGATCTGAATCGTCGATCTGGATGATTCAGACCCAACCGAGGCCTCGCAGCATTGAGGCCGGTCTTCGAACCAGTACTTAGTACTGGTCCGGCCTCACTTCGAGGCATCGAGCCACCAGCGTTATGCCGGTGCGTATCGGTTGGCAGCAGCAGCGCTATTTTGAGCGCAGGAGCGGAGGGCAGCAGCGGCAGCGCGAGCTAGCTCAGCAGCAGCAGCGAGCGAGGAGACCAGCAGCAGCACGGCGGCCATAGCCACCTCGACAGCAGCAGGGCAGGTACCAGGAGGCGAGGATCTCTTCCTCCCTCCACGGTCCCGTTCCCTCCTCCTCACCTCCATCTTCCCCTCTGCCACCTCTCTCTCTCTTTTCTTCTTCTTCTTCTTCTTCAGACTTCTTCTTCTTCTTCTTCAGATTGGATATTTGATATTAGTTGCACATCAGTGTTGGACTTCGGTGGTAAGAGGCTGTGGTACTTACCGGGTTCGAGACTTGGAGATTGTTGGGGATGATACTCGGCTGCATCACAGATGGGACCCCGGTTACATTAGGAAGTGTATCTCCGACATTGGTGACTTATTGTCCACGTCATTTGATCTTGTTCGATGACATTTTGGATTACCATATCGGTGACCTACTGGTTTTCTATCTCGGTGACATCTGGTGCTACCTACATCTCCACCTCCTTCGTCTCTCCTCCCACCTCTCATCTGTGCATGTGTGTAAGGGATCTGGGCATTGTCTATGCTTGGCCCAGACCCCACCATCTCACGATTGTATGTGTGTGGAGTGATATCTGTGTGAGTCAGTCTATGTGAGTCATTGTCTTCGCTGCATACATGCTCTTCCTATATTGGTTGATCTTTGGTTCTGCCCCATACTCGTGGATACTTTCCCGAGTATGTAACACCCTGTGTCGTTTCAGACTAAAAATGGCAATAGCCTTTTTAGCCTGAAACGAAGGGCCATTTCCGGTCTGTCATCAGAGCGGCCTGCCCTAAAACTCAGGCACTGAACCAGGGTTTTAGGAACAGGCTATTTTTGGCTGCAGCGCGAGCGCAGGCCCCGGCTCGGTTGGGCATTGGCAAGAGCAGCCTCCTGGACTGCCCGCCCTGCAACTGCAGGCAGTCGGAGGCAGTCAGGAGGCAGGCCGAGATAGTACATAGGGACTTCCCATGCACTTCACGGGCAGTTAGGCAGGACGCAGTCTTCAGGATTTTGGCAGCAGCACTCTGGAGGAGCGCTAGTAGTAGTAGTGTTAGCCTTAGTCTTCAGCACTGGGCGCTTGCAGCATTAGCAGTAGTCTTCAGCGCTGGGCGTTTGCAGCGTTAGCAGTAGTCTTCAGCGCTGGGCGCTATAGCTAGAGTAGCAGTAGAGTGAGAGAGATTGGGCGGAGGCCATGGATACTCACCTGCAGCACCGTTGCTCCAGCTTTGTCTTCAAGGTACTTGTAGCACAGCGCCATCTTCAGAGGTTAGTACCTGGTATACAAGAGAGAGAGAGAGAGGGTGCTTCTTCTTCCTCTTCTCAGTCCACCATCTCCTTCTCACCCTCTCGCTATCTGACTTCACTGCATCAGCAGGCTACGAGATAGAAGGAGAGAGCTTGGTGACATTTGGATCCAGACTCGACATTGGACTTCAGACATATCGAAGAGGGGTTATTTGGGACTTGCAGCGAGACTTGGTGTTGACGACTTTCCCATCTCCCCCCTTCCTCTTCTCGTCTGATCCCCTCCTCTTCGTCTGTGTATGTCTGGACCTGGCGCCTCTTTTCTGTGTAAAGTGCCAGGCTCCTTCACACTTCGCGATGGACATGATGTATGTTTGGTCTGCGTTTGAACATCGATTGGGCTAGTCATTTGCATTCTAGCATTCTGCTTGGCTATCTTGTGCTACGTGAATGAGGTCAGTCCCGATCAAGTCAGGATTTGTATCTAAGTATTCCCTGCGCTATTCAGCACCATTTTGTATGTATCAGAATGCACATTGCTTGTTGAGATTCTAATTGCACTGCATTGTCCATTCAGTCCTTTTCATCACATTGCGGATCCTCGGTTATTGTGTACATCGCCCAACTGGGCATGTAACAGTTGGTATTGGTGCAACGCACGTGAATCAGGACAACCTGATCTGACACGTGTGCGGGGACTAGGTAGCTGATTAGTCTTTATTGATTGATTAGAGCACACTAGTTGGCCCCCAAAATCACGATTTTGACCTTACTGCCGAAAATCAATTTTTTTTTTTCTTTTCTTGGATTTTGTTTTCTTGCTATTCTGTGGTGGAAAATCGCAATAGCGCAACATCTGAAATTTCCATTTTCGTTTTACTTCTGAAATTTTGAAACTTTTTTGTTGAAAATCTGGAATATCCTTCTTTTCGAAAATTTCGATTTCCTGTTGCATTTCCCGTTACTTAGAAATTTGGAATATATTTTTTTTGAAATTCGTTTTTCTTAAAACGGTACGGGAAATCCCTCCTGCAGGTATTATTTTCCAAACTGCGAATACTGCAAGGAACATGAATGTGGACGAAGCACAGAAATCCAGATTGCAAAATCACMCTGMAGTCCAKGTAGTCAAAGCAAGAGCAGATAGCACAATGGAACCGAGTAACCATCCATTTGAGAACGATACAGAAGAATCGTGAGTCAATGTCCAAGCCCAATCGGGCAACACCAACGCGTAACCCAATGTAGCTCTCTCTCTTGAATGGCGCCAGGCGCCCTACCTACTCTACAGCCTATCACTACAACTACAGCATGGAAGCAACCAGACAACTTGACGACCAGCGAGTGATGATGTCAACTCCAATGCCGACCTCCTCTCCACCAGGTATGTCTCTCTCTTCACCCTCACTCTCCCTTGTTATCCCACACAGCGCCCTTCACCTCCGAAGAACCACCTTCGCCCTTCACCTCCTCTGTGCCCACAGGCAGCCTCTCTATGGCCGCCAGCGCCCTGCGCCCAGGCTGCGCTCTACCGCTTAGCGCCAGCCTGCCTTCCTCAGCCTAGCGCAGCGCAGCACACTCGCAATGCAGCAGCGTGCCGGCCTTGCTCGCCATGGCCAAGATCCCTGCCCACTCGCCCTCTCTGCTTATATGTCAGTGTTGCGTGTGGGCGGCCTCCCTTGAGCCTGCGCCTGGGCCCCAGTACCTGCACCCACGCCCAATGTGGTTGGGGCCCACGAAGTTCAGTTGTGCCTCTTTCATCCAGGCCTGCGTCCAGATTCAGATAGTGGACCGGTTTCCCCTTGGCATTTTCGGCCTCTATTTCCAGCATGCAATGTCGGCCTCACGTTTATGTGCCCAGGGCCTAACCAACTCTGAAAGGCCTTGGTCCTTCTGCATTTGCAGAGATCCGGAACTCGGTGCACTCCAACCAACTGGCGTGCAGCAACTGTATGGACCCCACTTCGTGAAATGTTTGAACAGAGGGCTCTCGTTGATTTGCTGGCCCGCCTTCACTTAGGGCGGGCACAATGCTTGCTGGGGGCCTTGGCCCAGAACATGTACATCACGGCAAGGCCCCTTTGAGGGCTCAATCCTCACATTCCATCCCTCTTAGCTTCGAAAGTCCGCTGAGATGCTTACTTCGCAGGTGCCTTCCCTTTTAACATCCTCTCATATTCTGCCACCACTTGAGGAGCTGTGTCAATCAGTTCCTCTCAGGTGAACCACCGATCTTCTTTTGGATCCGTATGATGCCTGAATCTGACGCGATATCCTCTCTTGGGTTTGGGAGGTCTTCCTCTACCCAGTGACTTTGGAACAGGCAGGTGCAATGACTTGCTGATTTCTATTGTCGAGACTGCTTGCGAGGCTGTACACTAACCGGTAGGGACAGATTCGTAATTTTGTTTGGCCGAGTGCTAACCGAGAGACCGGCCTGTAAGGAAATTCGTGAGGGACAGATCTGCAAATCTGGGAAAAATACAGGCCCAGCACTAACCCGAATTCCTACAGCTACCCTAACTACCGATAGCAGGCCCAGGCTACCCCTAGGACAGACAGGCCCTAAGCGGCCTATGCTGCTAGACGGTCCTAGAGCCTATAGCCGGGTCCGGTAGAGGCCGAGAGGCCGAAACAGCAATGGTACCGGTCGGTCAGTCAGTCCGGTCTAGGTCTAGAGAGTCCATAGATAGGTTAGGCCCATCGGTTCAGGATTTTTGGCAGTTCATTTCTCGCGAAGCAGCGTTGGAGAAGCCAAGCAAGTTGGTGGCGGTACCTGTCTACCGGCGGCATCCTGAGACATGCGGTGATAGCAGCCATAGCCGGCCCTCTCTGAGTCTGCCATAGGTGGGGCATCCTCAGCGCATCTACCCCTGGGGGTATCTGCGTATGGTCAGGCTGCATCGAGGCTCCACAGTGGTTGTTCGTGGGTGGTGGCAGCCATAGCTGCCTGTTCCTTCGTCAGAGTTGTTCAGCGACACTGAAGACTTCATCGCAGGACCTGTTCTTCATCAGGGTGGTTAGCGCTGGCCTCTGGGAGGCTGTTCCGATGCAGCGCTACTAACTAGGTGTAGGATAGAGAGTGGGGTGTGAGTTCTGAGTGTGGCGAGATACTGGAACAAACTCTGTTACGATAATTGTGTGAGTGGCTCATCATCAGTGGCAGTTTCAATTGTGATCTTCGCAGGTTCTTTCTTGTGATTGGTTGTTGTGTCAGAGACTGAGAAACACTGTGTGTCTTCCCTCCAGCTGTGCATGATTGTCTTCCGCTGCTTATCTTCAACTCTGTGCAGTTTGGACTCGGTCTCCTCTCTCCACTTCTCTTATGCATGTATGGGCATGTGTGAGACTGTCTGTATGTGAGTGGCGAGAAAATTCGTCAGACAACCAAGTTTTTAACAGTTGGTATCGGAGCGAGATTGGAATTGGAGCACTGAGGGTTGAGCGCACTGAGGCATCTTCTTCATCCTGGCGATATACTGGCGAGAGTTTCATGGCGATTCATCTTCCCCAATACTGAGTCAGCAGGGAAGAAGACTTTCAGCGGTGAATTCAAGTGTTCAGTGGCTGCACTGAACAAGCGCACTGATACTGTCAGGGCGCTTGGCAAGAAGTGGCGAGTACGGGGCTAATTCGCCATAGCCAACCCTGAGGGTGATTCAGCGAATTACCCCAGAGTGGCGAATTATCCCTAAGGACATCAGGGAACCCTGAGCGGCATCATCCTTGGGTGGCGCTGATAGAGATTGATGCAGTATATCAATCTCCAGGAGGAATAACCCCATCTGGGGCTATTTTTAGCATCAGCGGCTACCTGACATTGTGGCGAGCTATTTTGGTGTTGGCGAGTTGGGTCCCACAGGACCAGATACATGGTATCTGGAGGGAGGGAGTGCAGCGCTACAAGATCCTGAGGAGGACCAACGATTTTGAAGCAGTTTTGTGCGTGGGATTGTCAGGAAGAAGCTCTGGAGGAGATTGGCGAGATAAGGGTTTCATCTGCCATAGCCAGATCTTCATCATCTCCTGCAAGATTCGCAGAAAGTGAGTCCGTTCCATGCACCTACCTGCATTGCGATCCAGATAGTAGTAGATTAGTGAAAGATAAGGGTTTATCTGTCTGTCAGTGACTGGATATGAAAATCGCAGACTGCATGACAGCCATAGCCATCTCTCCCCTACCTCTCTCTGCTCATATCTCATCCTCTGTTGACTCTTTCTGGTCCAAATTGGTTTTGTGACTGCTATACTGTATTGCGATTGTCCTGGGATGCTCAAACAGGGAATTCCGTACTGAAAGGCAGTAATACTGTGAATTATAGTTTTGCGTTGAGTCTATTTTTAGCCTGTGCTATCTAGGGTCAGTCATAACTCTAATTTTGTCCGTCAGAATTCAGTTCTGTCAGTCCCTAGTGAATCGCAAATTTAAAACAGTCAGTACTGTCAAATCGCAGATTTGGATTTTGAGTATTTCACGGGATACAGTGAAAACTGGAATTCGCCATACCCTAAGGTATGGCCGCCAGAGTCATCAGGGTCTGAAAGTGAGTTTGAGTCAGGATACTGGGTATCTGTCTGCATCGCGTGTTGTGATTGATCTCTCCTGTCGGTACTAACCACTTTCTATCGTTCCCACTGATTACCCTTGTTTTCTAGTGGGCACTGAAAATTCTAGTGGGTCTCTTGAAAAGTAGTGGAGTGATTGTATTAACTCCAGTGTGGTCCAGGGTTAGTAAAAGGAAATCGTGTGGTTGATTTTGCTGGACTTATAGTCTGTCTGACACCTGACCCCAGAGACACCCTTCTAACCCAAACCGTTGATTGCCTGTACACCCACCTACTCCAGTGTTGAGTTGCTGCAGCGATTCCAGTGTGTCTGCAGGAATCTGAGTATCGCTGCAGCTCTGTCTGCTGTTATTTTATTTTTGGTTTTTATTTGAACTGCGAAAATGTCGGATCAGGGAAATGAGCAGCAGCCACAGGTAGAGGTGGTGGTGAAGGTAGAAGGTGAACAACCTTCTACCTCCATTACCCCCCCTCCACCTCTGACTGCTACTCAGAGGCTGAAGAAGGAGGCAGAAGAGCAGCTCAAGCTGCAACAGGCNGAACAACCTTCTACCTCCATTACCCCCCCTCCACCTCTGACTGCTACTCAGAGGCTGAAGAAGGAGGCAGAAGAGCAGCTCAAGCTGCAACAGGCCAGAGTAGCTGAATTGGCACGGCAGGAGGCTGTTGAGCTAGAGGCTACAACAGATCACTCGAGGAGGGAGTATCTGTTGCAGCAGCTAGAGAGGTCACTCACTGATGACCGTTGTGCCCAAATCACCAAGCATATGGCTGAGATGATCCTGCTGGAGCACAAGATCACCAACTCCCAGTTCACAAACTGGGATGACCGTTTTGTGCGGCTGGAGCGTCGGGTTGACGAGCTGTGAGCTCAGCAGTCCAAGATCCTGGACTCCATCCAGGGCTTGTCTGCGCAGCTGGCAGCCGCCAAACTGATTACTCCTCAGCTCCCTCCGCTTCAACCCAAACCGACTCCTCCTCCTTCACAACCTCCTTCCCCTCCTCAATCCCATGCTGGATCTGCACATTCCTCCCGGTCATCTACCCCTTCCCAAAAGGCCTCAGTAAAGGCCACCTATGCTGCTGTGACTGCAGCAGACAGAGGTCCCAAGATCCCTGCTCCGAATAAGTTAAGGGGTGATGAACCCAAGACTGATGTTGGGGACTGGGCTGCTGGGACCAGAGCCTACTTGAGGGGCTTTGTTTGTGCAGAACAGACCAAGGTGGCAACTGTTTTGGGGCTGCTGGAAGGGCCTGCACTGAAGTGGGCCACCTCAACTTCTAGCAGTCTGCAACAGTCCATGGAGGACTGGGCCTTTGGATTGGGGGTAGACAGACTTCTGTAGGCCCTGGAGGACCGGTTTGCCGACAAGGAGCCGGCCCGCAAGGCTGCTGACAGGATTGCTCGCGTGGGACAGCAGCGTTATAGCGGTACCCTACAGGCCTTGTTTGCTGAGATCGAGCAGCTTACCTCCACCCCTGGGTTGGTCATGGCACCTGATGATATGTTGACCAGCTTTTGCAGGGCCGCGCCTGAGAAGTTCGTTGTTGCACTCTACAGCGCTGGACACAAGGACTGGAGGTCCTTTGGTCGTGCAGCCCTGGAAATGGAGGCCAAGCTCCATGTCCAGGCCCCATCCTCTGACAGGAGGAAAGGTGCCTTCCCTAGAGGCAACAGAAGGGGAAAGGCGGCCTTCACTCACGCGGGGTCTGCCTCAGGATCAGATACCGATTCCTAGCCTGATGTGCCTTCAGGTGGGACCGGATCTGCTGCTGAGACAGATGTTGCAACAGTTGTGACTCAGGCTGTGTTGGGAGCTCTGCAAGTGCAAGCGCAGAAGTACTCCCCCTCCACAGCCTCAGCCACTACTAAGGGGAAGGATAAGGGACGTCGACCTTCCTCTTCCCAACGCCCTAATCTGCCTTGAGACGTCCACATGCCAACTGAACCTCTCAATCCCTCCACACTCCCCTGGCATGACCTCAAGATCCAGGAGGGAGTCTGGAGAAGAAGAAAGGAGAGAGGGGTTTGCCTGAGGTGTGAGGGCCAGCACTTCTTGAAGGACTGCCCTTACATGCCAGGCCCAGGTAGTTAGTCAAAAAACTGAAACAGACCCTGGGGACTGCAGTTCCCTCCAGTGCTGCAGATTCACCTATCTTCATCTACTCAGGTAGGTGAATCTGCAGTTGTTTCAGTTGAGACTAATGATGATGATGTGTATTTGGGGGCTGCGCGGGCAGCATCCTTTTGTTATGAGGATCCTGACCCAGATCAGGACCCAGGGCAGGATGAGCTTCAGTCTATTGCAGCCTTCTTCTTTCATCTGAAGGAACAAAAGAAGAGCAAGTCTGAACTCATCATGCTCCGACCACTGATCAACAGCACCAGGATCACTGGGTCGTTGGACTGTGGGGCCACCAGGAACTTCATGTCTCCCAGTGCAGTTAAAAAGCTGCACTTGGGCATGAAAGTTCAGCAGCTGCAGCAACCGCTGCTGGTGCGAATTGGTGACTCTACAGTAATCAGCATCAGGGAGAAGGTCAAGGGCATCCCTGTGACCTTCGATACTGCAGGAAAAGTCAGACATAGTCTGAACTTTTACATCTTCCGCGAGCTTCCCTTTGACTTGGTGTTCTCCATGCAGTGGTTGAGGGCAGTCAACCCTAGGATCGACTGGCAGATACCTAGAGTTGAACTACCAGACAACCAGGGGGTGTATCAGCAATGCATGATTGCTGCTGAACACCTCCCTAAGACCTCCTGCTACTGCCTGAGAGCGAGGGAGTTTCATGCTCTCTCTCTCCAGTACCACCATGAGCGTCTATTTATTGCTTTGGTCAAGCAAACAGATGCTCCCCATGTTTCCTGTCCCCCTGAGATACAGCAGGTGGTAGATCAGTATGCTGATCTGATGCAGGAGCCCTTTGGATTACCCAACCGGCCAACCAAGCATCACATTGAGCTGCTGCCTGGAGCGGTTCCTCCCAAGGGCCGCATCTACAGGATGTCCCCTGATGAGCTTGAGGAGCTCAGAAAGCAGCTTGAGACCCTGATCAGCAAAGGCTGGATCAGACCTAGCACATCTGAATTCGGTGCACCTGTTCTCTTTGTACGCAAAGGGAACGACGAGTTCAGGATGTGCATTGACTACAGGGGCCTCAACAAGATCACTAGGAAGAGTACTGAGCCACTTCCTAGGATCGATGACCTCCTGGACATGGTGCAGGGCTGCATAGTGTTCAGCAAAGTCGACCTCAAGTCTGGCTACCACCAGATTGAGATGGCAGAAGAGGATGTCTACAAGACAGCCTTCAAGACCAGGTATGGGACTTATGAGTTCCTGGTCATGCCATTTGGACTTTGCAATGCCCCGGGCACTTTCCAGACAGAGATGCACCTCATCTTCAGGCCTTACCTGGACAAGTTTATGGTTGTCTACCTGGATGATATCTTGGTATTCAGCAAAACTGCCAGGGAACATGCGGAGCACTTGGCTCTAGTTCTTCAGTCGTTACGTGACAGCCAGTACAAGATCAACAGAGAGAAGTCCTCTTTTGGAGTTCCCTCTGTCATCTACCTGGGTCATGTAATCTCTGGAGATGGCCTGGCTCCTGAGGCAGCCAAGATTGCTGCTATTCAGGAGTGGCCTCAGCCTCAGACAGTGAGGGATGTCCGATCCTTCATGGGTTTGGCCTCCTACTACAGAAAGTTTGTCAGGAACTTTTCTGCAGTGGCTGCACCCCTGACTAACCTCACAAAGAAGGACACTCCCTTTCTTTGGTCCCTCCACTGCCAGTTGGCCTTCACACGACTCAAGAAGGCCTTGACTCGTGCGCCTGTACTGAAGTTACCTGACCCCACTCTGCCATTCATCCTGACCACTGACGCCAGTCAGTATGGCATTGGGGCAGTTCTTCAGCAGGATGATGGGAATGGTCTACGGCCTGTAGAGTTTATGAGTAAGAAGATCAAGACTCAAAAGCTCCAGGACTCCACGTACGAGAAAGAGCTTTATGCTCTTGTCTGTGCCCTGAAACATTGGAAGCACTTCCTCCTGGGCAGGCACTTCAAGATCTTTTCAGATCACTCCACTCTACAGTGGATGAAGTCCCAAGGAGAGTTGAACGATAAGCTGGCACGGCGGCCTTCCCCCATCCGCACTGGTGACCATGTCTGGGTGGCCAGCTCTAGGCTGTCGAGGGAGGAGGATCTCTCTCCCAAGTTGTTGCCACGTTACCTGGGTCCATGGCAGGTCGCTGATCGCTTCGGTCCGTTGTATGTCATTGACGTTCCGCTGCATCTACGCACCTACCCGGTCTTCCATGCTTCCAAGCTGCTGCCTTTTATGCCAGCTGATGCATTCCCAGACCGGCCCCCTCAATTCGGTCCACCGATCCCTGGCAAGGGATATGACGTGGAATGGATTGAGGACGAGTGGGGCACAGGCCCCGACCGGCAGTATCTTGTCAGGTTCGCTTTTCAGCCCCCTTCTGAGAACCGATGGTTCTACAGAAGAGACCTGCTCAAGACAGCAAAGTCAGTTGTATTGCGATATGAAGCGGCTCATAAGGGCAACCTTCCTCGCCGTTCACCTCGCCTACACCCCTAGCTCGGAGGTCCTCGCTCCCGGGGGGGGTAAGCCTGCAATGACTTGCTGATTTCTACTGCCGAGATTGCCTGCGAGGTTGTACACTAACCGGTAGGGTCAGATTCATAATTTTGTTTGGCTGAGGGCTAACCGAGAGACCGGCCTGTAAGGAAATTCGTGAGGGACAGATCTGCAAATCTGGGAAAAATACAGGCCCAGCACTAACCCGAATTCCTACAGCTACCCTAACTACCGATAGCAGGCCCGGGCTACCCCTAGGACAGACAGGCCCTAAGCGGCCTATGCTGCTAGACGGTCCTATAGCCTATAGCCGGGTCCGGTAGAGGCCGAGAGGCCAAAACAGCAACGGTACCGGTCGGTCAGTCAATCCGGTCTAGGTTTAGAGAGTCTATAGATAGGTTAGGCCCATCGGTTCAGGACTTTTGGCAGTTCATTTCTCGCGAAGCAGCGTTGGAGAAGCCAAGCAAGTTGGTGGCGGTACCTGTCTACAGGCGGCATCCTGAGACACGCCGTGACAGCAGCCATAGCCGGCCCTCTCTGAGTCTGCCATAGGTGGGGCATCCTCAGCGCATCTACCCCTGGGGGTATCTGCGTATGGCCGGGCTGCATCGAGGCTCCACAGTGGTTGTTCGTGGGTGGTGGCAGCCATAGTTGCCTGTTCCTTCGTCAGAGTTGTCCAGCGGCACTGAAGACTTCATCGCAGGACCTGTTCTTCATCAAGGTGGTTAGCGCTGACCTCTGGGAGGCTGTTCCGATGCAGCGCTACTAACTAGGTGTAGGATAGAGAGTGGGGTGTGAGTTCTGAGTGTGGCGAGATACTGGAACAAACTTTGTTACGATAATTGTGTGAGTGGCTCATCATCAGTGGCAGTTTCAATTGTGATCTTCGCAGGTTCTTTCTTGTGATTGGTTGTTGGGAGTTGTGTCAGAGACTGAGAAACACTGTGTCTTCCCTCCAGCTGGCATGATTGTCTTCCGCTGCTTATCTTCACCTGTGTGCAGTTTGGACTCTGTCTCCTCTCTCCCCTTCTCTTATGCATGTATGGGCATGTGTGAGACTGTCTGTGTGTGAGTGGCGAGAAAATTCGTCAGACAACCAAGTTCATAACGCAGGTCTCTGTGATCCACAATGTCGTCGATGTCCACTTGGCCATCCATGGTTGGGGGCAGCATCGATCTTCTTGAAGGGAATTGATCTGTCTCAGCGAAAGGTGCAAGCTTTGAGGCATGAAAGACAGGGTGAGTGCGCCAGTGACCAGGGATGCGGATAACATAGGTAGGACCATTCATCTCATCCCCAACGATGTCCAGGACTTCCCAGGGACCAAAATACTAGGGCATTAGTTTTCGAGAGATATCGAATTCCTGTCCTAGCTCACTAGCCTTGACCTAGACACTTTTCCCTACCTGAAATGAGGATTGTCGAACGATGTTTGTTCTCAGCAGCAATCATTGCTTGCTGAGCTTTCCTGATGKGCTCGACAGCTTGCTGCAGCAACTTCTGATACTGCACACCATACTCAAGTGTGCCCGGAGTTGCAGAGGGTCGGTTTTTGGGTAGGAGGAAGTCCAAAGCTGATCTAGGTGCAGCTGATTAGGACTAACGCCGGTACTGCTGTGTACAGCGTTGTTGTACACGCTGCGATGAAAGGCAACTTCTCATCCCAGTCATCCTGGTTGGGCTTGATGTAATGCCTCAGCAGGTGTTGTACAACTCTGTTCATCTGCTCGGCTTGTCCGTTGGCTTCGGGATGATTCCCTGAAGTCATGTGAAGTTGACTGCCCATCTGTTCAGCAGTCTTCTTCCACATGTCACTTGTGAGGCGGACATCTCTGTCACTAACGATTGACTTTGGTAGTCCAAAATCACGCACCCAGTTGTCCAAAAACAACTTGATGACGTGTTCAGTCCTGGCGGTCTCTGGCATGGCAAATAGTCTAGCGTACTTGGTGAATTGGTCTATGAAGACAAAGATGTGCCTCTTGCCATTCCTACTGGTCACCAGGGTGTCCATGAAGTCCATGGAAACACTCTGTCCCGGACCAGCGGGGATAGGTAAGGGCTTCAACAACCCAAGTGGTGCTTGAGTTCGTGGCTTGTCCCGCTGACAGACCTGACAGGTCTCCACATACTTCTTTGCATCTTCTTGCATCATGGGCCACCAAAATCGTTGTACTAGATTGGCACTCGTCTTTTTGTAGCCAAAGTGTCCGGTCGCGTCATGACATTCTCCTAAGAATAAACTACGCAAACGTTCACTAGATGGAACAACTAACCTTTTAAATCCGGCCTTATTCAAGAACGAGAAGCCCGTCCACCATCACAAACTCATCTTCTGTGGCCTTGTCTGTTGCCTGAAGTTTGCGTATGATGTCCATCGTGACAGGGTCTTCTTGATAGGCTCCCACCAGCGATTGAGTTAGTTCTTCAGATACACCAAACTCAGAAACTAACGCCCCTAGATACTCTAGCTTGAAGTCATACTGATCTATGACCTCAATCCAGAGCTTGAGTGCGTCAGAAAGAGCCGGTTGAGTCTTGATCCATTTAAGGGTCTGATGGTCAGTTCTCAAATAGAAAAATCGTCCCAACAGAAAGTGCCTCCAATGGACAAGTGCTTTGTAGAGAGCATAGAGTTCCCTTTCATAGGTGGACTTTGCCAGTTTCTTAGATGGCATCTTTTTGCTCATATACTCAATCGGTCTCAACTTCTTTCGATCTTGTTGAGCCAGCACTGCGCCAATGTCGTATTGGCTTGCGCCAATGGTTAGAATGAAAGGCTTCTGAGGATCGGGCACCATGAGAACCTCATGATTCATGAGTGCATGCTTCAATCGTTTGAAAGCAGCCTCGCACTCATCACTCCAGTCCCACGGCGTGTCAAGTCGAGTTAAATCAGTCAAAGGAGAGGCGACTGTTGAATAGTCCTTTACGAAGTTTCTATAGTAGCCGCACATTCCTAAGAACGATCTGACCTCAGTAATAGTCTGAGGTCGTGGCCAGTCCCTGATACTAGCCACCTTCACATCTTCCGGCCTAATACCTTCCGCAGATACGTCATGACCCAAGTATAAGATCTTAGTGCGTCCAAACTCACATTTCTCTAGGTTGACCTTTTGTCGCAGGAGTGAAAGTACAGTCTCAACGTGTTGTGCATGCTCCTCGACAGACTTACTAAAGATAAGAATATCGTCAAGATAGACAACGACAAACTTATCTAAGTGGTCATGGAAGATCCTATTCATGGCATGCTGGAATGTACCCAGCGCATTGCAAAGGCCAAAGGGCATCACTACAAACTCATATAGACCGTATCTGGTCTGAAAAGCAGTCTTGTGCTGATCCTCAGGTCTTATTGCGATCTGATGGTAGCCGGACTTTAAGTCTTATCTTGCTATAGCACTTACATCCCTGCACCCTATCCAATAGGTCGTCTATGCGAGGTAGAGGCTCTGCGTTCTTCACTGTGATGGCATTGAGGCCTCTGTAATCAATGCACATCGTCAATGTACCCCCCTTCTTCGGTACAAATAGCATCGGAGATCCGAAGGGGGAAGTACTCGGCCGGATCCATCCCTTTTCTGTCAGCTCTTTCAATTGTCGCCGAAGTTCATCCAACTCGGCTGGAGCCGTGCTATAGATCCTTCCCTTTGGGGTTTTACTCCCTGGAAAGATTTCTATGGCGTGGACAACCTCCCTATCGACGACTCCTGTGGGCTCTGTGAACAGATCAGGGAACTTAGCAACGACGTGTTCTATCTCTTGGGGTGTTTTAACGACCTCCCCTTTCTCCGAGACATACACTAGGTATATACCCTCCTCTTGGTTCTGTTTATAGTAGTTATAGAACGCTGATGCACACAAGCAACCATCAGTATCGATTATACTACTGGCTTTGAACTTAGTTAGTCTAACAGTTCTTCCATCAAGCAACTTATGCTTTATCACCTTCTTGTCCCAGTCAAACTGGGGCTTGGCAACCTCAAGGTAGTACATTCCTAACAACATGTCAAATGGTAAGTCGTCGCTAACCAGGAACGGAATCTTATTATCAAGTTCCCCTCCTCCGTAGGAGAAGGTACAGACTACATCCTTGATATAGTCTGTGACAACCATGCGCTCCTTATTGGCCGAAGTAGATGCTACCGGTCTACTAAGGTGTTGTACCCGGTCCTGTAGGTGCAGCCTTTCCAAGCAGTCGCGACTTATGTAATTCCGCGTGGAGCCGATGTCTATGAAGGCACCACATTTGTGGTCTCCTACAGCAACTTCCACAACGAAATGTTCCCCTCTAGGACCTCTTCTTAGTGCCACCCAAGATTCGCGAGGGTCCTTGCTTGACCACTCACTTTCTAAATCTTCTAAGGCATCAGACACATCCAACGTACAGAGTATAGTTTGGTCTGGATGAGTCTGCAGGGTGACTAAAGAGTCATTAGCTATGGCCTGCTCATGAAGTGGGGAGGGTATCTGGCCCACTTCACCATGAGTAGAAGCAACTAAAACTTCAACCGGCCTCACATGTTTCCTGAGCTAGACGCCTGGGAAAAAGGTACTCCTACCTTAGGGGGTATCTTCTGCGTGATCCTTGCATTCTTGCACTTGTACTGGGTGTGTCCGCATTCACCACAGTTGATGCAAGCACCACGCACTCTACGGTCCCGCCACACTTCTTGATCAAGACATGCCTTGACCCAATCAGCAACTTTGGTCTGGTTGGAGGTGGCCTGCCCTTGACTCTTATGATGGCCCTTCCCTCGGCCACCTGCCTTAGTCTTTACTACTGCGGCGAGGGTGCTACCCTCAGCGGTTTCCTCGTCGTCGTACTCTGTGCTGTCCAACAGGTCTGAAAGCTCCTCGATCTCAGTTTGGGTCCCATCAGACTCAACCATCATCAATCGACTCCCCTTCTTCTTCCACTTATGTGGACTCTTCTTCTTCCTCGCGTCTACTGGAGTAGGCTGAGCACTTCCTAGAGTAGCCTCTAAGTCTAAGGCTTTTCTAGATAAGGTCTCAAACGAATGATACTCGAGGTGAGCCTCGCTGGCCAGTAAATTTATGAGATTCTCTGGGAGACATCTCACAAACATGGTCAATAAGACCTGGTCATCGTAGCGTATGCCGGGAACGACAATGAGGCTCTCGACAGTAGACGTTAGCTCTCTGATTGACTTGAACTTTCGCTGGTTTAGTTTGAGCATCGCATCAGTGGCAATCTGTGCCTGCTGTGGATTATGCCAGCGAGCTTCTACCATGTCTAAGAACTCTTCTAACGTTAGGGTCTTAGCCCAGTCCGCCATGCGTCGTCCGTACCTGGCCTTTGCTACTAATCCATCTAGCCATTTCGCTGCCTTACCCTCAAGGTAAGATGCGGCAGCTTTGCTACTAATCCATCCAGCCATTTCGCTGCGGCAGTAATCACCTCCTCCTCCTGCATAGTCCTCTTTGCCCTTACTCACACTGGAACCATTCTCAACCATGTGTTGACTTCCTCGTCCTTCTTCTCTCCGTAGAAGGCAAGGGGCGGTTTCATAGGGGTCTTTGGGTACCATTGACCTTGCTGTTGTCCCTGTTGAGGAACAGGTTGTTGCGGTGATGGTGTAGCTACCACTGCTGACCCAGAAGAAGAAGAAGCAACAGTCTGTGTGGCTGCTGCAGACGTACCGCTTGGCTGTGTGCCAGCTTGTACCGGAAAGGGGCCCGACATCGTCGTTAACGGCAACGACGGCTGTGCTGCTGGCCTAAATCCTCGCCTTTGCTAAAGATCCAAGATTTGGACCAAGGAGTTCTGCATGAAGTCTAACCTGCTGTCTACATGCGCATGCAGTGACAGTACGCTGGACTTTAACACTTTCATCTCGTCAGACATTGCTAACTCATCTAACCCCTCCAATGCAGCTTTGTCTGCCTCTAACGTATCCAGCCTGGCTGTTCTATTTTTTATCTCTTTTTCTCTGTCGGTAGCTTGCTTCAGTTCCCTCTCTAACCGAGCGCGGATGCTTTCGACTTGTTGGAGCTCTAGGAGCTCCCTACCGCGTGGGGTCAACGGGCTTAACTGCGAGCCCGCCATTTGACTTGTGGACTGACTAGAACCTACTGACCCGGAAGTTCCCGTGGGCCCAGATGGCATTCCCAACTGAGTCCCAGATGAGGATGCAGCAGAGGATGCTGCTGCGGTAGCATTGCTGCTGCTCTGGCTGCTGCTGCAGCCTGTTCCCTAGCTGCGGCGTTTGCTGCCTCCCTGGCTGCTGCGAGAGCACGGGCTCTGCGTTCGGCACGAAGCCGTGCTTCGTCTCCCGGTCGTAGGGCCTGAAACACGCGCGGGACCCTAAGTGATCTCGAACGTGTCAGCCTCTGATCGTCAACTCTACCCTCATCGGTGTCTGACCCACTCATCAGTTAGGCAAACACTATCTGCACTACAACTCCCTGTTGGAGTCCTACCATAGCATGCGTCTAACCGACACCTAATTTTCTAAAAATAAATGTGTCCATCAGGTCCCCTACTTGACCGATCAAGTGGCAGCCTACAACATTCACAAAAGACTGTCAACATAATCTAGTTGTATCGTGATTAGTTCACGTAA